GTAACGGTGCAGACATGGATCTTTTTTTCTTTTAAAAAAAGGTGGAAAATTAGTTGCAACACACCCAGTAAGTGATTATTCACCCGAACACTTGGAAAACAAATCACCTTTGTGTGGCTCTTTTCTAGTCTTAGACGACTCAAAGCTTTATCTGTCTGACAGCTCCACCTGCGGCCACCAGGTACATGGAGCGTAAGGACAGCTTTGAACCGGAAACCGTCTTGCTGTGAGGCAACGATGCTGACCTCTGCACCGCTGCGCTGCTGCAGATGTGCAGGGCGGACACAAATCAAACAGAATGTCAGAACGCTTTAGCTGCTTTTCACTTAACTAAAAGAAAACAATAAAATCGTAAAATCTAACAGTAAAATCTATATTTTACCAAATTTGCTCGACAGAAGCTGTTAATCTTTTACTGCTGCTGGCAAATTCATCTAAGTTAGCAGAAATTTATGTATTTTTTTTTACTGTAGCTCTATTACTGAGAATACAGCATTATTCTACACTCTTTTGGTCCTTTTTGTGTTTTACAACCAACCTGTAACTTTGCCATTTATTTCAGTCTCACAGAGGTTTCATGCTATTTGAAGCCCAGGCAGTTCTGGCAGAGTATCTGCTCAGTACCAGACACTAGTTAAAGTGCCAGATGTGTTCCTCAGGAGGTCATGACGGGCAAAACAGAGCTAAAAAAAAAAAGAAATTGCTTGAAAATGCATTAATGTAGCAATGTGCCCACGCTGTGAAGAAGCTGTACAGTGGTTAAACACGGGCCTCGTTCTAATAACCCTCTAGTGTGCTAATCTACTTTATTCTACAGAACAACACATGGATTTGAAAGATTACACACGCAAAATCCTGACCTCCTGTTGTTTGTTGCAACATTTGTCCTTTTGCAAAGACACACAGGAAGTGGGATGCAGTAGGTTGTGCGCTGCAGGCTCCTGCCGTCAAAGAGGAGGCATTTACCCTAACCTGCGCAGCATCCTCTTTCCCCCTCTGTGACACACGTCAAACCAAATGTATTCATAAAACCCTTGAAAAAAAATGGCGATGTCATCCTCATGATAAAAGACGAATATGGGATGAAAAAGAAGAAACTGCACATTATTTTGTTGCGCCTCGTCTGCTGTGTGTTTCTGTGTGTTTCTGGATGGATTGGTTTGAAGGTGTGTGTGTGAGAAGGGCAGATGGCGTAGCTCTAGGAATCATCTCCCTACATTAGGGTGCACAGCAGGTGGTGGACCCACGTGCATGAGTCTTCCAGTTCACAAGGACATTTCTCCAGACTTTGCCTTCGGCCTCTGTCACAAACACTCATGTCTGCTTCGCTCTGTGTGTGGGTCTCTGTGTGTGTATGTATGTGTCAGTCGAGCAAGAGGAAGTAGGCAGCGCAGGGAGTTTAAAGAATTGGGGTCTTTTGGTGCTATGAAGCTGCAGGGTGACAAAAACGTGGATGATGACAGAGTAGATAAAGAGAAGTGACAAATATAAAAAAGGAGACAAAGTGAGAACGCGCGGGAGAGGTCTCTAATGCTTTATTGCCTCCTGTCTCGTCTTTCATTTGAAGCCAGCTTTGACTGACAGATTGAGGAGGGGAGCTGTTTATTTCAGTAGCTCGGGGTGTAAAAGCAAAAAGAAGGACGCCGCACTCCAAAAGAAAAAACTTTTAATCAAGGGCAACACTTCACACATAAACACACATGTGTGCTTGTGCGTGTGTGTGTGTCTCCTTTTATTATATTGATCTCACTCTCCTTTCTCATATTGGCTCCTTTTCAGGAAGTGCTAACCCTCCGCTAGCAAATCAGTGCCGCTCTCGCTTGTTGACTGCCTGGAGGCTTTTTTAGCCGAACAGATGGCTTCTTAGTGAATGAGAAATGACATTCATGTGAAATGTTACAGGAAACAGACACAGACTGACTGGATGAGGGAGTCTGGATTCAAGGCGGGGGGACGTGAAAATGTCTGTGATTCAGTTACAAGCAGATGTCAGCATGTTGGGGTCTTTTTTTTTTCCATGCCACACAGACGGACACCCAGATGAGCTCTAAGTGGAAAACCGTGTCAACGCCGAGCGCCATTTATAAAAGTGACTGGATGTAGTCCCACCCGCTATAACAAGAAAGAAAATGATTGTTCTCGTTTTAATCATTTAGTCGAAAGCTGCCAAATTGGCCGTCGTGTTCCTTCAAACTCCATTTGTGATCCTTGCAGGATTTTCCTCCAGGAATGCTTTCTTCTACGTAATATGTGGAGTATATCACAAATTTGAAATTACCTCTAAATAGAAAAGAAACAAATCTTTGTGTACTTTAGATTGTTTGCATTGCCTGTTCTGTATTTTTCTAACGTCTGCCAGTGTCACCTGCCCTCCCTGCATAATAATAGAGGGTGTGTGCAATTATTCACTCCTCTCTATCGTTCTAATTTCTAAGTAAGAAATGCACAAAGGAATGCTGCTTGTTCTCTTTTGGCGGCGTTCGTAGATTTGAAGCACAACATGTTCGTGACATGGTGATATGGCTTTTCACTGAAGGGGAAGTAACGCAGTATTTCTGTGAAACATGCATGCAGACGCAGCCACAGGCTCTCTTGTTTCGTTTCATTATCAGAAGTGATGCTGCTTTCAGTCTTATCTGGTCTGCGGTGTACACATTTATTTATAGACCAGGTAAAGTTAGTCAACTTTAGATATTGCCATACATACACGGGACGTGATCTGACATCACTTCCTGTATTGCAGCCACAGACGTTGTTCTGAAGAAAGCTTTTAAATTAGAATTCAGACGCTTCTGTAAACCATCGTAATTCGCTGGAACTTTAATATCATACAGTTGTAATATTCACTATCTATACTATACGTTCCTTAAATGCTGCTTTCTTTACTTCCATTGTGGGAGCTTTTGAGGGTTTGTGAAGTGCATAAATTGTATAAAATTGCATGCAGTGAACAGGCAGCGTAAACATAAATGGCAAACAATGTAAACATAGTAAACTGTGAGGGATTTCAGAGAGATTGTAGCAGGCTTTACGGAGTCAGTTAGCTGACTTTTCTGTGCTTGAGCTGCTGCTACTCTATGTTTTAGTGTCATCTTATCTTGCAGTCAGGGCTCAAACATCAAGGCTATAGGTTAGAAAGTCTTTCCAATCATTTTTCTAAGCCTAAGACCACTGAATATTCAAGCGATTCACATGATTTTTAAAGAAATAGACGTGTGCTTAGCTGGAGATTCGACATTTAAAAACAAACTTTTCAGTGCTGTTCACAGACATGCTGGTTTTAATGATGGTCGTTTAAGTTTAACTCTTAATATAAGAAAGTGCAAATTCAACAAAACATCTGATTTTTTTACATGATAAATGAGTAAGATTACAGAAGACGTTCTGGTAACTCATTGCCCAGACTATCCTGTATTCATAATAATGCTCTTTTTTGTTTCACCCATATACCCATTGTTACAAAACAGAAATTTCTAAAGTAAATTGTGGGAAAAAAAGGAACATTTCTGTCATTTATCTATTACTTAGCTATTTGTTGTGCTATTAATGGCAATGTGATAGGTCTTTATCAATAGAAAAAGCTGTAACAACTATGAAAATACAGTTAACAGTTCAAAAACTCATGCACTCCTTCATGTTTTCCAAAGCATTCTAACGGCCTGAATAATCGGTCTTTGTTGGGCCGATTATGGCCCCCAGGCTTTATGTTGGACACCTTTTCTTTAGATTTTAGGTGCTAGGTGTTGAGTTTGACAGTAAATGTGTGTATGTAGGTGATAAATACAGTTTCTCATATTATGAAGCCACGTCTGCCCTGTGAACAAACATGGGAGTTGGTTCTGTTGTTGTCATTAGTCATGATTCATTAATTGTTTAATTGTGCAAGTGCAGTGAGTAATGCACATTATCTGTTTTGCTCTTGTTAGTTTGTTTGAGGTTAAATTAACACCACATGCTGCACTCATTAGCATTTATCTGTCATCTGATTTGTCATCTGTGGTGCAATGGCGCTTCTTTATTTGAGGCGTGCTTTTGTGTTCCTGTGTTTTTGATCGGGACGTCGAAACCGATCGCCGGCCCCGCCTTCTTTGGAGGCGAAGCCGTGTCTGGCTTTCTTCGTGAGGCTAAAAAAGGGTGGCATTGGAGGACTTTAAAAAAAACTGCTAAATCACACAAACACACACAATCTCTCACCAGTACTCAAAAGAAGTTCAGCACACAGCTGTGCTCTTTCCTCTCAGCAGCTGGGACATCAGTACACACACACACACACACACACACACACACACACACACGCTTTGTCCTAGAGCTGAAAGAGTGGGAGGGAGACTGACTGAGTGAGAGAGCAAACAAGAGCTGGAACACAATTTAAAAGCTTCGGGGATTTGATTCATTTGATAGTTTTTAGATTAAGGAGAGAATTATGGCTGATATTACACACCATGTATTATGTAGAAGATGAATCAGTTATGTATTATACATTATGATTATGCATAATTTAGTTTGTTGTATTTCCTCCTCTGCAGTGGATTTGCGTTTGAACGAGGACGGCGTTTAAAAAGGAGGCAAACAGAAGGTTGTTTCCAGACAGCTGCAAGGAAGGACGGAAGAGTTGGAAGATGCCTTTGTTGTAAACAGTATATCACTGCAGAGAGAGAAGGGCAGAAAAATGGCGGTAAACATCGAGTGAAAAGAACGATGAAAACGTCTCAGAGAGATTAGGAATTAATCTGCTGCTCTGATTGTGTAAGAGGACAGTGTGAAACACGGGTTACTCTCATCCCTCCATCCCTTTATCTCTTTGGAACTTCTTGCTGGGAATATGGTGTTTGCTTAATCTCATCCTGTCAACCATTTGTTTCCACAGTTACATGGGTCAAGGAGGCAGCGAACAGATGTATTTTTTTTTCCAAGCCCTGTTTTCTGAGTGTGTCTTTCCAAATTCATTTAGATCCTGTTATTGACACATATCGCCCTCTCTCACTCCCTCTGTCTGACAGACACCATCCTGGGTTCGGAGACTTTCGGCGATGTGGCAAACTTCAGCACCTTCTTGCTGGACCGCACATCCGGCATGCTGTTCCTGGGTGCCAGGGATGCCATACTGGCTGTAGACACCAAGAAGCTCAATGAAAAAAACCCATTAAAGGTAGGCGTAGTGCCAGTGTGTGAGTAACCAGGCAGCAGCATTAAACCACTGAATACAGGGTGTATCAAAAAGAATCATCCGATTCAAAAGGCTTTATGTGTCCCCTGTCGCATACGTCCATATAATAGTCAAACTTGTCCCATACTTGTGTGAGCTTGTCTGGAGTCACTGCAGTTACTGTTGTTATGCTACCTACCAGCAAACAAGTGAAACTCTTTCTAACAGTGCGACAGTGGTGTACAGGTGTGGATTTAAAGCATTAAAAGTATTTTGTGTTGTATTTTGGTGCTCTCTGCCAAAGCATGTATTATGGTATTATCTTTGTGTATAAGAAAACTGACAGACTTACTACGTCTGTGTATCTTCTTTCTTCCTGCAGATTATTTGGGATGTCTCAGACGACAAGAGGAAGTCATGTGAGGGAAAGGGAAAGACAGAGGTGAGAACAGTGCATGTGTGCTGCTTGTGTGTTATTTTTGT